CAATGACCATGTTGACGCTTTCCAGTCCCAAATGCACCTCACCAAGGCCAGTGAATCGTGCATGTGCGTGGCCTTCACCACCACCTTCAGGGGGGTAGCCCGCACTTGGTACAGGAACCTGGCCCCCGGGTCGATAAAATGCTGGGCCCAGTTCGTGCAGGTCTTCACCACACACTTTGTCACCAGCAAACGGTGCCCTAGGACAGAGGAAAGCATCTTCGGAGTAGTCCAAAGGGAAGGAGAATCCATCCGGGGCTACATCAAGCGATTCAATGAAGCATGCTTACAGGTACCGCGGTTAGACCCCGCAATGCAGCTCGCGACGACTAAGAGAGGAGTAACGCACAAAGAGTTCAAGTGGCACATGGTAGCTAACCAGCCCGCAACCGTGGCCGAATTCCTCAAGCTCGCGGACAAGTTCATGAGGACAGAGAAAGAAATCAACCAACGAACTGAAAGCGGGAACGAGAAAAGAAAGAGGGAAGGCGAGCCCTCCAACCCAGTCGACAGAAAAAACCCGGTCCGAGAGCCGAAGCCGAACCAGTCGTTCCGAGCTCCCCTAGCAGTTCGGACGGATTACACGCTGTTAAACACGAGGCGGACCGAGATCTTAATGACGATCAAGGACGCCCCATACGTGAAGTGGCCACCTCGCCTAAAGGGAAATCCAAATGAGAGAAATAAGAATTTGTATTGTAGTTTCCGTAGAGACCACAGTCATAGTACCGAACAGTGTAATAATCTCCGGGACAAGATAGAGGGACTCATCCGTCGCGGATACTTAAGAAATTTTGTACAGCATAACAATAATAACAATAAGGCAGGTCRRCAAGGGGAGCACGAAAAGGATGCCCCCGAATCTAGCAGCAGACTAGCCGAACCGTTGCAGCGACAGCCTCCAGAAGAGAGGCTAGTTCGGGGAACCATCCATGTAATTGTGGGAGGTTCGGTGGTAGCAAGGTGTACATCGGCGGCAGCCCAGACTTCAGTTCGCGAAGCGACCCTCGAGGAACGGAAACCTCCAAAAAGACCAAAGATCGAAGAACCAATCTTCTTCACGAAAGACGACACGCGAGGGGTCCACTACCCCCACGATGACGTGCTTGTCATTAAACTAAGGATCATCGATTTCGAGGTCAGACGCGTACTCGTAGATTCGGGCAGCTCAGTGGACATCCTCTTCAAGTCAGCATTTGGCCAGCTACAGTTACAGTGGAGCGAGCTGAAGCCCGCGAACACTCCTCTGGTGGGTTTCAGCGGAGAGGAAGTCAGACCCCTCGAAAAAATAACAGTACCTGTGGAAGTCGGCACATGGCCTTGTGCGGTCAGAGTTAACCACGATTTCCTGGTGGTCGCGACCCCCTCCCCATACAATGCCATAATAGGGCGGCCAATCACGCATATCCTGCGGGCAGTGGTCTCCACCTACTATTTGGCCATGAAGTTTCCTACAGACTTYGGTGTGGGGGTAGCGCGGGGCGACCAGCTCGAGTCCCACAAGTGTTATGTTGCCGCCCTGAAGGGAAAAACCAAGGTGGCCGACGACCTCGAATTGGAGCAGCCTGCAGAGCAAGGCGAGGAACGAGCTTCGCCCACAGAGGAAATGGTCGCAGTCCCGACTTCGGCTACAGATCCAGCTCGCACACTACAGATCGGTGCTTCCGTCGAGGAACGAACCGAACTGACCCATTAGACAAAAGAAACGCAACTTAGCCCCAGAGCGCTAGAGGGCGGTCGACGAGGAGGTCGAGAAGCTCCTCGCAGCAGACTTCATAAGGGAAGTTCATTACCCGAGCTGGGAAGCCAACCCAGTGCTGGTGAAAAAGGCAAACAGCAAGTGGCGCATGTGCGTCGACTACACCGACTTGAACCAAGCTTGCCCGAAAGATTGCTTCCCCCTCCCAAGGATTGACTGCCTAGTGGACCCGACCTCGGGACATGAGTTGCTAAGCTTCCTGGACGCCTACTCAGGCTACAACCAAATCAGGATGGACCAGTCCGATGAGGAAAAAACCAGCTTCATAACCGAGTTCGGCCTATACTGCTACAAGGTCATGCCCTTCGGATTAAAAAATACCGGGGCAACCTTCCAAAGACTTGTAAATAGGCTATTTCTC